TTTTAAAAGTGGAAATCTGGAAATGTCCAAACTCGATCAATTCAAATTGAGTGAATCATAAAAAGGTTATGAGAAACAAAGGTAGAGATGTGAAAGTAGTGATAGAACACATTTTAGATGTTGATAACATCTGTTGTGCATTCTGCTGTATGTGCACAAACACTGCCACCTGCTGGACTGTTTAGGAAAAACTATTTACTTTGTAGCATAATCTGCATTCCAATCCCCTGAAATCACTGGGCAGTCTAATAGTTGTGCTCTTGTGCTAAAGTAACAAGAGAACAATGAGTTGCTAATATATTGCCTTAAAAGTACATTCAAAATGAAAGGGAAAATTAAGTCTTGAAATGCACATAGGTAGTACAGGCTACACGTACAGAGCTTTTTTTTTTTTTTTTCCTCTAAGTGTAACTATTTTGCATCAGGTCGCAGGCTCCTTAAAGCAAGCCTGTCACAAAAGTGAACAATCTCCACAAACCACTGCAAAGAAGAAACCGAATACTTGCCTACACTGCCTAGTTTCTTAAAGAGGATCTTCTGCCGTCTTCCCCCAACCCCCCTATCTATCAAAACTAGTTACCCCCTCCCCCAAATAAAAAGTTTTCAAAACATTTAGAGGGGTAGGAGGTTGAAAAGTGGAATTTCATCTTTTGGGTGAAGTTCCTCATTAAGGATTTGTTCCCCCAAGTCCGCTGGGAAATCTACACTGGAAGTCTCTTGTGCCCCCTCTTTATTCAGCGCTCCTCCTGACATATACATTACTGTCTCCTGAAATGAAGTGAAGATCAACAGAAGAACCACTGAGCAGGGGCACAGGAGATGAGGCATTCCCAAGTGTCCATTTCCCAGCGGACTTTGGAGGATAAATCTTTAACAAAGAAGTGCAGCCCTGGCGGCAGGGTGGCCAAGGGTTTCATCTTTACAGGTACATGGCTTGTAAAGTAAATTGGTGCATTGGCCATGCATTGTAAAGCCACAGATTCACTTAAATTTGCACACACCTTCTCTTTTTATCTGGCACTAACACAAATCAAAACCTTGTGCAAGCTCCAAGTTGATCCTTGTTGAAATTTAGTGCAACTGTTGCTTTGCCCCACAAAGGCAAAACACATGTCACTTTCAAATTAACCTAAGTAGCAAATACTGTGAAAGAACACAGGACAGAGGAATGTAAGGCTGAGATTTTAGGCTCTTTTGAAGTATCAGATTCAAGGTCGACTCTAGTCCATTGTTTCATATACACTGCTAGCCTGTTGCCATAGTAGCACTGTCAGATTAAGTTATGAAAATGTTAGCTGTAAGAAGCACCTGACAAGACACTGTTATTCCAGACCTATCCTTATCACAATGGCCACATGGATAATGGGTGAAGCCGAGTACCCAAGTAAACTCTTCAGAAGGTGAGAATGAATATCGCTCTCCAAAACCTTGATAACCAGATGAATATGGCAATGCCATCTTCTTTTTCATAGTGAAAACTGTATGCAAAGAACTGTCATCCTTTTACGCAGACTTACAGTGCATTACATAAAACTCAGACTAACGTGACCTGAGTGCACCTTCTGAATTGGCATTTCTCTAGAACTGGAACACAGATTTTCCATGTTCCAATTTTAGTAAATCTCCCAACGAGTCAAGTTGACAAAAAAGTCCATTTAGGTTAACTAGTAGAAAAAACCTCCATATACAGAACCCTATACCCACAGCTGTTCCCGGAGGAAGGCAAAAAAAAAAAAACCTCACTAGAATGCATGGTCCTGCAAGAAAATAATGTTATCTATAAATGTTAATATCAAGTTATGTTTTGTGTATTTGGTAATGGATGCAACTTTTTTTTTTTTTCTTTTTTATTTTAAACAATCTGCCGAGATGACCAGAACTATCTTTTACTCTATTCGAAGATTGCAATTCTTTCATTTACTTACATTGTTTTATCAGCCGTGATATAGGTAGTTTTAACTCTTGTGGTTTTAAAACCCTTGTCGAATTGCCTTCTACAATTCAGTCTATACAGATTGGGAGCTTGCTGAGCAGAGGCTATCCCAATCCACAGTGGTTCGGTAATGACTTGGGTATCCTCCAGAGTAGCAAGGTTTGCTCTCTCTTCCTTTTAGCCCCTGAACATGCAGTCATACTTTTACTGGAGAAACCTTTTCTTGGCCTTTCTCTAGTTTTTAGCAAGCACCCAGCTGATCTCTTCCTGTAAAGAAACTGCTTAAACACCTTTCTTTTGTAACAGGCTATAACCCTGTTCCTTACATCTTAGACTCTTCTTGACAAAAATCAGTCTAGTTTTTGCTCCTGCATTCAGCTGAAAATGTGCTCATAAAAGTGTCCAACTATTAGAGTAATGCCTATCGACTTTCTCAGAGTGACCTTTTCCTGCTTCTGTCTTCTTAGCATTTGTCATAACTTCCCATGACTTCTACAACTGTGTGCTCTATTGGCATTAAGGACATTGTCTGTTTTTTTTTTATTATTTTCGAACTTATATTGGCCCTCTAAACTTCTCTCCATTTTTTTTTTTCCTCCCCTCTGTTGGATGTCCCCAAAGTTTTTAGTCCTTATTGCATTTCCCCAAAGTTTACTCCCTGTCATGGGTTCTTTCTAGAACACCATCTTTGCCAAACTTGGTTTGTTCATCCTTTGTCCCCCAACTATGCTATAATTACTATACCAAGAGCAACACGTCCACTTCTGATCTGTGTCCTCTTGTTCTAGCAGTGATCTCGCATTACCTCGGAGCCATCCATTTGTTTATAGGAACCTTGAATGCTACCTAACATAATTTGAACAAAATTCTGGACATCTCTTTACTGTAAATGGAACTGACACTCTCTCTTCTTTACCTTCCTGCCTTGATGCATTGACTTCTTTTGTGTACACCAAGATCATCTGGAGATTAGATGTGCAAGCTTCAGAATTTACAAACTATACTGAAGCTGTAAATGTCTGTGTTTTGACAATTACCCCCAATTCTGGTAGTTGATGGAACCTAAGAAGGTAGGCTGCTTGGTTGCAGGCAAGTACCGTATTTTTCGCTCCATAAGACGCACTTTTTTTCCCCCAAAAAAGGGGGGAAAATGTCAGTGCGTCTTATGGAGCGAATATAGAGTGGCCGGTCTGGTATTTCCACCGCCGCCGTGTCAGAATACCTGTCCCTCTATCCAGCGGCGCGCTGTCTTCCCGGCTTCTGTAGTGTGCGTGACAGCCGGGTCCCAAGTGCGCATGCGCAAGAAGCAGTGCTCTTTGTGAATGGTAAGGCGGTACCTGGGACACATGACAGATCCGAGAAGCCGCCAGACCAATCACAAAGCGCAGCTCTTCTCGCGCATGCACACTGGGCATCCGTCTGTCCGCCGAGCGCCCACACTACAGAAGCCTGGAAGACAGCGCGCGGCTGGATAGAGGAACAGGTAAGATATAAAAAAAAAAACTCTGCGGAAGTAAGAGCGGGTACCTGTCAAATTCAGGTACCCGCTCCCCCTCCCTCCCCAAAGGTCAGCAGTCATCTCCTGTACTGTCCGCAGTCTCTGGTCATCCCTGTGCTGTCCGCAGTCTCTGGTCATCTCCTGTACTATGTCCGCAGTCTCTGGTCATCCCTGTACTGTGTCTGCAGTCTCTGATCATCTCCTGTACTGTCCGCAGTCTCTGATCATCTCCTGTACTGTCCGCAGTCTCTGGTCATCCCTGTACTGTCCGCAGTCTCTGGTCAAAACCTCTACTATGTCTGCAGTCCATTAGTTCAGAATTTTTTTTCCCCTGTTTTCTGCCTCTAAAACCTAGGTGCGTCTTAAGGTCAGGTGCGTCTTATGGAGCGAAAAATACGGTACTTGCGATCATATTCCTGGGGGATAGGAAAGTGGTTGAAATTTACTGGAAAAAAAAAACTGTTCCATGTAACACACTAACATTTTATGTACATTATGTTTATTATCTCTTGTGTCACCGTATTTCTTTTGTTTGGATTTTGCAATGTGCACCTATTTTGTATTTAATGACAACACAGTGATGTGTTGGTCCTCCCCTTTTTTTTTTATTTTTTTAATTTTATAGGCATGATTGCACACTCTAGAAAGTATGGCAATTTTATGCCTACATCTCATCATTCTAAATATTTACAATGTCCACCAATGTTTTAAACTAAGTTGGTATAAAAATATCTATTTAGGAGTACAGCTTTCCTAAACTAAAGCTGAAGTATAGGCAACACAAAAAAACCTGACCAACCAAATATGCAAATATTTAGTGGCAGAAAAGATCAGTCAACAGCAGCTGTGATCCTTCACCTAATTAATTTTCCTCTGTAATATAGAATATTAAAAAAAAAAAAAAAAGGTAAGCATCTAAATTTTTACTTATGAGCATTTTTCAACGGCCTATGCAGAAAAGTTCAGAGGGAGAAGCAGCACGATGAGCCTGACAGTTTTTTGCCTCTGGGGTCATATACTAACAAAAGGCCTGCTGATGGGAAGAGTGCAGCGTGATAGACAGATGAACTCATCAGTGGGCTGCTTCTCCTTTCATTGTTTAGTCACAGGCTGAAAGAGAAACAAGCTACTGAACTGCAGCAGAGAAAAATAAGGTCTTTCTGTGTAGTAGAGCTGTAATGAGGACTGGATGGTCAGAAATACAGATCATTTGGTAGTTAAAACTGCTCTCATATGTATTTTATTTGTGTGTTTTAGCTGTTTGCTTGGAATTCAGCTTCTAGTTAAGATTTGAAAGGCGTATAGGAAAAATTGCCTGTGTACCCAGGCTTTAGTTTTTAATCCAAGCTGAGCTGTAGTAAACCAGACCAAACCATTACTTAAAAGCTTTATACAAATTGTGATTGCTGTTTCTCTTAAATGAAATGTACTGTTCAGATCAATCATTCTACCCAATACCTGCAAATTAAATTTGTGTTTTATTTACTATGGCAAAACACATTTAGTCAGAATTGTGTTTTTACTATTTATCGTTTGTCAATTCTTTTTGTGTGCTTTTTCCATTAATAGGATTGATGTGATTTCAACCAGTAGCTCTCAGGTACCAAAACTGTGTAGGAACTGGAACCCCCCTCTCTTAGGAAACTTGCCTGATGATTTTCTGCGCATTTTACCCCAACAGATGGACAGTGTTCAGGTGAGAATGTTGAATTATGTTTTTAATATTTAATAAAAAACGTGATTCAAGGTAACCCCGAATTGTGTATATCTCACTAACCTATGTTATGGTAACAGAGGTGTATGTATCAGTCTTTCTAAAATGCAGCTGTCCGTTCACCACACACGTTATGATCTGACTGTACAATCTGATTTAGATCTGCCACCAATTATATAGTGCAAGGACCTGTCCAATTTGGACACAAATTGAATTGACAGTTTTAGGTAGTATATCATATTACAAACAGGGGCGGACTGACCATTTGGAAACTCGGGCACTGCCGAGGGCCCGGGGTCAGTAGGGGGCCCCATGAGATGCCACTGGTACCTTTTTCATAGGCTTTTTAGAGTTTGGGCAAGGACACAGGGGCCCCATGATCCCCTATTGCCTGGGGGCCCCATGAGTTGTCAGTCCGCCCCTGATTACAAAATTGGGGTAAAACTAAGGGAGATAACGGGAAGTTTTTATTGTAACTTGTATGGAAAGCTAAAAGTGATATTACTTTTTTTTAAAAATAACGAACATGTTATACTTACCTGCTCTGTGTAGTGGTTTTGCACAGAGCAGCCCCAGTCCTCCTTTCTCGGGTCCTCTGCTGGCGCTCCTGGCTCCTCCCTCCTGAATGCCCAAGAGCAAGCAGCTTGCTATGGGGGTACCCAAGCAGGTTCGCTCCCGAGCTGCTGCTCTGCATGTCCATTCACCCACAGAGGCTCGGCCCCCCCTCCCCTTATTTGCCTACTGGCTGTGATTGACAGCACCGGGAGCCAGTGACTCCTGCTTCTTTCTCAGCCAATGAGGGAGAGTTCCCGAATCTCCGAGACTCTCCTGTACATCGCTGGATCATGATGGGCTCAGGTAAGTATTAGGGGGGCCACTGCACACAGAAGGTTTTTTTTTTATCTTCATGCATAGAATGCATGACGGTAAAAAACCTTGAGCCCTTACAACCACTTTAAAGTTTTTTTGTTGCACATAGGAATATCCCCTTCTCCTCCCTCGTCACTTGTCCCTCTTTTCTTCAGTTTCTTTGTCTTCTGTGAGGTCTCTTACCCCCAACACCCTTTCTTTTAGTTTTTACTTGCACTATTGACTGAAGCCTATTTACCGGTTTTAGTCACAGTACGCCACGAGATCCTCATTTTGGTCTTCCTTTTTGTTTGTATTTGCGTTGCTTTTTGTTCTTCTTTCACACCATAGTTTTATGTTTTATAATGCCTTATGTCTAAGCCCCTGCATGGGCAGAATTGGTGCTCACCGTGGTATATTTTGCAAACTAAATGTAGTATTGAACCAGAAGTCAGGCTGTAGTCTCAACATTTATAAGCTTTTCTTTTTTGTTGTGCAAAATGTGTTTATTTTTTTCTGTAAGGGAAGTGTCGTTACAGAAAATAGGGTGACATTTTCCCTAAATGTTTACAAAAATTGGATGAGTAAAATTACTGCACTCTGTTCTGGTTCAGCTAACAAGAAAGCAAAATAATGAGCACTTGTGGTGTCCCATCAACCACAGCAACATATTTAGCATAGCATGGACAACACAGCACTAGTTACAAGTTAAGCAATCAAAGTTTATAAAAAAAAATCAATGTGTTTTACAGTTCAGCAACCACCATATGCAAACCTTGTCCATGATATCAGCTTGTAAAAGCAAAGTAGTGCTACTTTAAAGAATTCACTTCTTTGTGTAAAGAAGCATACTTAACCACTTGCCTACCGGGAACTTGTACCCCCTTCTTTACCAGTCCAATTTTCAGCTTTCAGCGCTGTCGCACCTTGATTGACAATTTGTGCGGTCATGCAAGATTGTACCCATATGAACTTTTTATCATTTTTTTTTCTCACAAATTTGGTGGTATTTAATCACCGCTGGGTGCTTTACTTTTTGCGCTATAAACAAAAAAAGTGAAAATAATTTGAAAAAAGTTTTTGTTTCTATTATAAAATTTTGCAAACAGGTAATTTTTCTCTGGCACTGATGGGCGTTGATAGGCGGCACTGATGGGCGTTGATAGGCGGCACTGATGGGCGTTGATAGGCGGCACTGATGGGCGTTGATAGGCGGCACTGATGGGCGTTGATAGGCAGCACTGATGGGCGTTGATAGGCGGCACTGATGGGTGGCACTGACTGGCACAACCGCTGGGCACTGACTGGTGGGCACCGATCATCAGGGCACTGATCATCAGTGCCGATCCCTGCTCTGACAACTGCCGATCTCGGTAGTTGTCCTCTGACAGCGTGAGGAAAGTGCAGCCGAGAACCGGCAATTGCATTTCCCGATGATCAGCGTCATTGGACACTGCTGTTCACGTGGTAATAGGCCGCTGTGATTGGCTTTTTACCACATCACGTGATCAGCTGTGTCCGTAGAACACAGCGATCACGGAGATCGCGTTCTGGGAGGACGTCATATAACACCCTCCCAGAACTGGCTGGCCGCAGTGTAGCCGTCATTCGGCTATCTGCAGTTCGCAAGTAGTTAATAATGTGGTTCCAACAATATTTTCAGCAAGATTACTTGGCCATACCTAGAAAGATGCTCCTGTTTACCTCCAGGTGTATGGCAACTGAAGGTCATTTTGGAACATTTTGCTTTTTTCTGATGAGTCCTAATAAGACATGGATTATATCTTTCCGGGTATGCCTTCACTGGTTGGTGTCCAAATCTTCCTTTCTCTAAGAAATTTGCATCATGTCATCCCATCGTTTAGTGTGTTTTGTGTTTTTGTCCCTCTGGTGTTTAGCGTTCCTCATGCCAGCAAATCATTGGTGTTTTTAGCTTTCCTCGGTCCAGAGTTTACTGCGTTCTTTGCCAATTACTCCCAGGTGTCTAGTATTCCTATTGCCAGTGACTTCCCAGTCTCTGGTGTTGCTCATGCCATCAACTCCCCTGGTGTCTGGCATTGCTTTTGCCAACTCCCTAGTTTATATAAGTTCTTGTGCCAGTGACTCACTGGTACCTAGTGTTCCTCATGCCAATGACTATTTGGTATCTAGCCTTCCTTGTGCTCAGTGACTACCGGGTGTCTAGCATTCCTTGTGACAGCACCTTACTGTTGTCTAGTACTGATGTCTAGTGTTGCTAATGCCAGAGGCTCCACTTGTGTCAAGTGTTCCTTTTTCCAATGACTCACTGGTGTCTAGCCTTCCTCATCCTAGTGCCTCCTTTTGATGTCTAGCATTCTTCTTGCAAACAACTCCATAATGTCTAGCATTCTTGTGCCAATGGTCACCTGGTGTGTAGTTTCTCTCAGGCCAATGATGTTTGGTATATAGCGTTCTTACAAACAACTCCTTGGTGTCCAGTATTCCTTGTGTCAATGACCACTGTGTCTAGCATTCCTCATGCCAGAGACTCCCTGGTGTCTAGCATTCCTTGTGCCCGTGATTCCCTGGTGTCCATTGGTTCTATTGTCAACAGCTCCCTGGTGTCTAGCATTCCTCATGCCAACATATTTATTCCTACATAAATGATACACTTGTGAAAATGCTAGTAAACCTCTGGCATTTAAGCGCACACTAGGGATAGTGAAATGTAATTGTGAGGGTCCTTCCTCCAGCCTGTATTACATTTTACACAGCCCTTTACGTTGTTGATCTTGCAGTAAGTACAAGACAAGTTTTTAATGATATACGGAAAGATAACAAAAATTAACTGCTGAACTTAGAAGAAAAATGGAACATTTTAAATAGGCCTCCATTGTTCTGTTGTAGGCTTGCTTCAAGGTTTACAGCCTGCAGCCACTTAAGAGTGTAATTTATACTGCACAAAGAACTGACTTTATAGGACATTTTTTTTTTAAATGATTGACTAAATGCAGTGGTTCCTGGGAAGATTTATACAATGTCAAATCTTGTTCCTGTCATGTAGCCAAGGGCTGAAACTATCATGTTGTTTTTGACACTATAAATAGCTAATTTCATGCACAGAGCAGTTAAAACTGTATTTTAAAATACTTCCTTAGACATGTGTTTTATTATAGCCCTGCTCTTTGAAACTGAGAATAGCAACTAAATATAGCATTCCAATTAATATACTGCTTGCTGCAACATGTTTAATTTGCCCTTAAGAAATAAAGGGCATTACAGTCCTGCCCTGCAGAATTATGTCCCAGCTAAAGAATTGCTAATGATGGTCTAGGCTCCTATAGCTAATTGCACCATCGGTGGTAACATTTTATACCTTTTTACTTGATTCCGGAGGAATGCACAGTAAAAGCTCTGGAATTAGTAGCCTTGGTGTCAAGGGCAGACAAGGTATCCTTTCGATTTAGAGTGAGGTCAGTGCCCCCTTACTGTAACATAGACCTAGGGCCCAGGGGGCTCCAAGGAGTAAATGGTGTCTGCACTTCAGCATTGCTGCATTAGGCATTTTTCAAGCCTGGTCAGGCTCACTTTAACATAGCTGTGTCTGAAAACAATGGTTAATGAATATTCCTAGATGGCAACTGTTGATTTGTATACACAGGCAATTGAAATATTTGCTCTTTAAAGTAGTAGTAAACACTTAGCTTTTTTTTTTTTTTTGCCAAATACATTGAGCAAAATAAATATTCTCTAGTAATCGATTTGTTAAAATTCCTATCCAAGCGCTTTACAGTTTATAACTGTCAGTGCGGCTGGCTCTTGTGCTCTCAGTGCTACTTCTCTGAACTTTGTCTTCTCTGAAAAGAGTAATTAGTGGGCAGTGCACTGTGGAGTCAGCCTGTTAGCAGGGTGGAGGGAGGAGAAGGGGGATGCCTTTTCATCCTTGGATATGGGGCTGTGTGTTTCTATTGATGCACACGGTGTTGGGAAACACAGCTGTAGTCCCTGCATGCAAGAGTGGCTCCATAGGATGCTGCACGAGACAGGTACCCTCTAAAACAGGAAACCTGAGTCAGCAATCATGGCACCAGCTTAAACTAGAACATAGGCAAGGATTAAAAGATAAAGAAGCCATATACTCAGTGATTAAATCTGCTTCTGAAAGTGCTTAAAAACTAAAGGTTTAATGTAACTTCAGATTCTAGTCCTTTTGCTTGCATTCTAGTGTCCTAGTGTTTTCTATATCTACGGCATTGGAATCCATGTTCCATATGTTATTATTTCCAGGGTTGCCAGAGTGGACTTTCTTCATTACAGTGTGAAGACTCCAAAAAAGAAAACCATGGGTCTGTGGACCAGGAAAGGAAGTTGAAGCAGTATTTGCAGGATGAGAGGATTGCACTCTTTTTACAAAATGAAGAATTTATGAGAGAGCTTCAGAGAAACCGAGAATTTCTCCTTGCACTTGAAAGAGGTAAATTCTATTAAAAAGAATCCACATACAAATCCTGTCAAATCAAGCAAATTGGTTTTGTTAACCTCAAGAACAAGTCCAGTTGAATGTGATGAACTACTACTAGATATACTTGTGAAAAGCATTTGTTTTTGGTATTAAAAACTTTTGTATATTTAGGGCCAGTTTACTCTAGAATGTGCACAGTCCCTTGCGTTCTGGCTTTGACAGCCCATTCATTTCAGTGGGCTGCCAAACTCAGAGGCATGTGAAACAAGTAGTGCAAGCACTACTTTTGCAAATTGCAGCATGTCAAACAGCATGATACCATGCGGCTTGGTGGACGCAAACCTTCTACGTTTTGAGAGTTGCGTTTTGGGGTGCAATTAAAAATTAATGGCAAGCTGCATTCCTGTGCAGTGCGGGAAACGCGCTTGGAACATGCCTTTCCCACACCACTTTCTAGTCTGAACTGACCCTTAAGGGCTCTGTTTCACTTATTATCGATGCAATGCCATACTGTAGTTTTTTTTATTATTTATTTATTCATTCCCCTTTCTAACAATATTTTTGTGGGCAATTTTCAATTAATGACTGACTTGTTTCTGTTATACGATTGTGCAAACTGTTGGCACTATATAAATTCTGTATAATAATTTAAAATTTTTGTATTCTGTTAATATATTGTATGTAAGGGATTTATACTTGCTTTTTTATGTCTGTGTCATTCTTTCTTTATACCTTCTTTTTTGTTTTTTTGTTTTCTGCCCCCAGAAGATTATTCAGTACTGCACTATTTTTTCACAGGTCAGGATGATGTAGTTAATACTTGAATGCACGTAATATGAAAACCAGACTTTGCTATGGACACACGTCCGTTTCAGTTTTTTTTGGACATTGTAATTTGTATCAATTTTGTATAAATTACATTGTCCAACTGACTAAAACTGAAGTGTGTCCTAAGCATTGTAGTTGCAGCGCAGTGGGACAACATTTTGAGGGTTGACACAGGTGGGAAGGAGGGAGACATGCACTATATTTCGACAACTATTGGGATGCCTGCCATTACACGCACATGAACTTTAATGGCATCCCAGTCTTGGTCCGTAGGGGTTCAATATTGAGTTGGTCCACCCTTTGCAGCTATAACAGCTTCAACTCTTCTGGGAAGGCTGTCCACAAGGTTTAGGTAGTGTGTCTACGGGAATGTTTGACCATTCTTCCACAAGCGCATTTGTGAGGTCAGGCAGTGATGTCGGAGAAGACCTGGCTCGCAGTCTCCACTCTCATTCATCCAAAAGGTGTTCTAGCAGGTTGAGGTCAGGACTCTGTGCAGGCCAGTAAGTTCCTCTACCCCAAACACGCTCATCCATGTCTTTTATGGACCTTATGGATCTCTTCCTCACCATCTGCAAACAGTCTTTGAAAGGCAATTGACAACAGAGTGCTTTTGAGAGGGGTAGCATTAAAAGGCCGCCACATGTGTGAATGAGTCCTAACTGTGTAACTAAATTGTGGGTTGCATTGCTACTTTCTGACTTGGCCCTGCACAGAAAAATGGTGAATAACACTCATCTCTACATGCAAGCATTTTTAATGACTGTAGTTTTGAAACTTGTCCAGTATTAAGTGATGTGTTTATAGTATTAGATGACCATGAAGGAGCAGTGAACTTTTTCTCTTTCATAGCATCTATGTTCCATTTTTAGTTTTTAAACTATAGTTGCTGTGTAAGCTGTGCATTAGAAGAAACTGCTTGTTGGTGCTTTTACACGTATTGCATTACATGAAGCTCAGCCGAGGATTGGCTTTTTCAATGCGGCTTTTCAATGGGCTGTGGTTTCTTTTATCAGGAAATGGCCAACAAATTGTTTCCTGGGAAGAATTACTTGAGGGCAGGCCTAATGCACACTTTCCAATCAATAATTAAATCATCCCGTGTGTAATCGACTAATAATACAACCTGATAAATAGTTGTGCGAAATTTCATATAGTACGTTCAACGCACATTCTTCTCTCTCAGGAAGTCTAAGTTGTTTTGATACTGTAACTTTTAAAAGCTCATGACATTTAAATGCATGAGTTGTTTTCTTTAAGAGATTTCATGCTTCTAAGTGCTAAGAAGCACTCACATGTCACATTTTTCTAGGCATCATGGGAAACATTGGTGGAATTGGTATGAAAGGTTGATCCAATGTGCTTACTTTTAAAGTTACCCTGTCACCACAGGATCACCAACCAGTAAAAAAAAGAGGCACTATATGTACCTCTCCAGCTGCTGGTTCACTGCCCTTCAGCCGCTGCCAGTATTCCACACTTTGGGTTTGTGAATAATTTGCTCCTCGTACCAGACCTAGCAGTTTTTCCCGCTGGCTTGTATGTCCCTATAGGATGTACAAGCGGGTGTGGAGCAGCAGGTATTCAACTCATCCCAACCCGTTAAATAGCTGCATCGTATTAAGAGCAGAGAAGCGGCAGAGTTTCAAAACACAGGTCGCCTTAAAGGAGAGTACATTCCTAATTTTTTTTGCAGAGTTGACTCTGTTTCATATGTAACACTATTGTGACAAGGTCACTTTACATGCAGATCAAATGCAATCAGAATTTACAATGTACTGGTCTAACCTCAGCATAGCTAGCTATGAATTTTCTAAATGTTATACAATTTTAGAAATGAATACTTAAGAATAAGAAATTTTTGTTGAATAAGGTGTGAGAACTGAACAGAGTTGGAGAAATGAAGAGGGTTGGGCACTATTGTTTGCACCATGTATAAGATACCCACTTTTGATGAACAAGGCCAGAAATGCCAAGGAGGAGGGTTAAGATTTATGGAGCCTTGCCTTAGCTTGAAACCTTTATATCTGAAAAGTTGTAGGTATTCAGTTGTACAATTAATAAGTATATATCCACATTAAAAGCAAACAGCAGGATCGGTACACTTCTACTGTATTGTTAACAAAAAGTTTGAAGCAGAAGCCCACTTTTCTAGAAAATGGAAAACCCTGTTTAATTTTTAGCACATTACAGCTCTAGCAAATTGTAAACATTTGATGAAGAATTAATTAATGCTATGTGTGCACAAAAGATAAAACAAGTTTTTTTTTTTGTTTTTTTCCCGTTTGCTAGATCGTTTGAAATATGAGTCTAAAAAAACAAAGTCTAGCAGTGTGTCGGCAAGTGGTGATTTCAGCTTTTGCCCTTCACTATCAGGTAAGGACACAAGATAATAAAAAATCAATATGTTTTCTGCAGCTTTGGTTCTCTGTGATATTTACACAGTAAAAACATTAGTCACCAAATGCTACTGTAATTAAGGTTCGGAAAGTAATATTTGCACAAAGCCAATATACAGTCTTGAATCTTGAACCATATGTTTATATTGTGCAGGGCCAATACACTTTTTTCATAATTTTTTCCATATCCTATGCAACATTATATACATTAATGCATATGCTTTTGTCTCATGTATTGTCTTTTTGTGAAAATCGTGGCTTTTTAATATGTACATCAGGTTTAATTTTGTCACCGAAAATATTTTCGTCAGCTGCATGTTTTCATTGCTGAAAACTAAACAAAAATAACATTAGAATTACATCAGTTGCCGAAAACTATAACGAAAATCAATTCCAATCTTCAGTTAGTCGACTAAAATCTCCAGTACATTTTAGTCAACTAAAATCTAGTGGGTTAAATTGTAATGCATAATTTTAAGCATTTCTCTAGAATTTCCAAACTCATTATATACTTCTGGAGTAAAAATCTAATAACATGTTGTTATTTATGGTATGAAGGTTTGAACATGCACTACAGACACAGATTTAGCCATTGTGATATGTAATATCTTTATAAATAAAAGCAAGTTTCATAAACTAAAATATTTCTTTTTGACAACCAGAAGTGCAACTTTAAAGTGGACCTTTTAGGTAAAAAATGGTGGACAGGAATTTTAAGGCAGAAGAGACCAGCTTTGTCTAAAAAACTAAGCTTGTCTCTCTGCATTAAAGTTGCTTACCTGCCTGTCGGCTCCTGTACACTGAGCCGCACATGCTCATTGTACAAATTCGGGAATGCCGAATCTGACTGAAATCCCACACATGCACAGGAGTGACATCATCCCTGCCCAGCTAATGACAGCGGCTGCCGATAGAGACCTGGAAGCCGGCCGGCTGGCCACCTGAACATGCCAGCTGCAGGGCAGGGAACAGTGGGACGTCACATCCCTGGACCAGAGGTGAGTATAGTTCTGCTTTAAAATATAATAAAAAAAACAAAACTGTAAACTGTATTGGCTGTATAGCCAGGCTGCAAATAAAGATGGGGCACAAGTGCTAAGCACATTTTCCATGGTGCTAAGCACTGCTAACTGCTGGGGAGGAAAACACTCACCACGTCGCATCCAGACACACGAATCCGACGGAGAAGTTCCTCTTTTTTGGTTTGCAGGGTATTGTTTCAAAATTCAGCAGGCAGAGCGCTGGAGCCTGCATCTTTCAGCCAATAAAGCTTGCCGAAAAAGTACTGGAGATTTTAGTTGATTAAAATACAACTAAAACTAAAACCATTCAGATGTCTAAAATACAACTAAAACTAAAATGGCATTTTAATCAAGGCTTTGTTAATTTTTACATCAAAATTTCAATTTAGTTTAAGTCAGTGATGTACAGTGTTCAGCATAAATGTGTGCACCCCAACCGATTTGTCAGAAAAACTTTAATTTTACCTTTCAGAATTACCATTTTCTATGAGACCCTATACTACAAAATACTCCCAAAATGCAGGCCATTGTTTACAAAAAAGATTTGTTTGCACACACAAAGTATTTTTCTTAACAAATTAATTGAAGACCATGGTGCAAAAATTAATACACCCCAATGAAAGTCTTGGGAGCAAAGCAAAATTTTAACCAACAAAATTGCAATTCAATTGGAATTCAACTACAGGCCAGTCTAATTATTCATTAAACCAGTGTCCAGCAGACAGATGATTATAAAAGGGTGTTGCTTAATGCTGTCAGTAATGGCACCACATGGAAGAGAATGTCACAAGGCCTGAGAAAGAAATTCATTTTTTTACATAAGAAAGGTGAAGATAAGCAAAACTTTACTTATTAGTCAGAATACTGCAGCAAAAGTGATATAAAAAATTAACAAAGATGGAACTGCAACCATTTCACAGAGACATCCAGGCCGTCCACAGAAGTTAACACCTCAACAGGAGCATATTCTGATGAGAAAGGTTGAAGAAATTTGCCATGCAAGTTCCCTGCAGTTAGCTTAAGAAGTAGAAAGCCAAACTGGGGTGATTGTTTCCTATGACACAATACGGTGTACACTGCAGAAGAATGCTATCCATGGGTGTCATCCTCGAAGGAAACCTCTTCTCAAGTCCATGCGCAAAAAAGCCTGCCTAGAATTTTCCAGGACCCATGCTGAAAAGAAGAAGACAACTGGGACTCTGGGGTGATGAGACCAAGATAAATGTTTTTGGAATTCATGGCTTCAAAACTGTATGGCATTGCAAAGGTGTGGAGTACAAAGAAAAATGCATGGTGCCTACAGTGAAACATGGTGGTGGCAGTGTCCTTCTGTGGGGCTGCATGAGTGCTGCTGGTGTCGGAGGAGCTGCATTTAATTGATGGTATCATTAATTCACAGATGTACTGCTCTGTCTTGAAAGAGAAGATGTTGCCATCACTCTGTGTCCTTGGTCGTCGTGCAGTTTTCCAACATGACAATAATGCAAAACACACATCTAAGGCCACTGTTGCATTTCTGAAGAACAGGGTGAAAATGAATCAGTGGCCAAGTATTGTATGTCACCTGATCTGAACCCAATTGAACACCTATGGGGAATTCTGAAGAGACAAGTTGAACATCACTCTTCATCCAGCACCCAGGCTGTAAAACAGGTCATTCTTGAGGAATGGAAAAAGATAGATGTTGCAATATATCACCAAATTGTTAATTCCATGCCTAAAAGACTTGGTGCTGTCCTTACAAATCATTGAGGTCATACAAAATACTAGATGTAGTAGTTTTTGTTTTGGGGTGTATTCATGTTTGTATCAATTTAATTTGAGTAAAAGTGAGATTTTGTAATTATTAATTAGGAACCTTACTTTCATGTAATGAGCTAAACATATATTCTGTAAAACTCAGTTTTGTCAAAATTTTGGAAATTGTTCTTTGAGATATTGATTCAAATCTTACTTTTCAAAAGGGGTGTACTCATTTATGCTGAGCACTGTACATACAATAAGTCCTGTAATATCCAAAACGCTTGCTATATAACCGGGACCATTCATGTAATGCATTTTTTTTTTTTTTTACTACTTGCTATTACATCGCCCATGGGTAAGCCGATACTTGCTGACAGGAAGACTCGGTGAACTACCACAGTGCTCACAGTGCCACGGTAGTTAATTGAGGATTACAACCAGACAGCCCCTAAGTCTTGTCGGGTTGTAGTCCATTCATTCACAGAACACTGTGCCGTGCTATTTTTGAAAACTGACAGCTAGTACGGGAAATTTCTCCCCATACTTCTATCACAGGGAGGGGCGGCCGCAGGATCAGGAACATGTTACAAGTTCCACCCTAAAAATGGGTGGAACATGTAACATGTTCCCAAAGGTGAACTTATCCTTAAAGTTCCTGGTCTCCAGAGTGAGCATGTGTAATCTTTGCAATTGTTTCTCTTAGCTTGTTTCTCAGGCTTCCAGCCTGCTTATTACTTTTTGCCCTTCTCTGAACTTTCTAGTTAAGGACATTTTGTGAATTGGTGACCAAAGCTTTATTTAAGATGAGGCTGAACCAGTGTTTTGTGAAGGGATATAATTCTATTGCTTAATCTCAAAAATGTATCTCCTTTTAAATGCAAACAAGTATTCTGCTAGCTTTGTTAGCTGCAGCTTATTACATGAAATTGCTATGAACTGCAAGGACCCCCAAATCTATAGTACCCTATATTCTCTGTAGGCGACACTTTTAAAGCCCCTTATAAGTCGTCAGTATAGTGTTATGGAGGATGTCTCATGCTAGAATTATTGCTCTCATTCTGGCATGCGCGGCGATATGTAACGTGTATCGTAGTCAACGTTTTCATGTGTCGACGCCCCAGCACATGCTTTTATGTTTGTACGTGCGTATATGTGGGGGTGGGGGGGGGGGGGCCCTCTCAAATTTATTTTTTCATCACAAAGGGGATTAAAAGTCCCCTTTGTGGTGATTTTTGGTGATCTCCAAGGTCTAAAAGACCCTGCGTGTCCCCCCTTGTACTCCACTGAATGTAATGCAGTGCATTACATTCTGTCAACGGGGACCCGGAAGTGACGTCACTTCTGGGTCAGGACAAGAAGGGGAGTGGACGTGTCTGCTTTCCTCCTTCCCCTCTTGCTGATGGCGGTAAACTGGTCCGGGGCCTGCAGATGGGCAAGTGGAGCCTGGGAGACATAGTGGGTGGGGGGAGGTTCATATGGGGGGAGGGGAGCGGAGGCTGGAACTGTTGGCTGTGTGAAAGCAATCGGGTGGTAGCACGGCTGTTCAAATGTTTTCATCTGACAGGTGAGCCCTGCTGCTTGCCCACAGCAGGGTTAAGGGTTAATTTAAAAAAAAAAAAACTACCTGACCAGCGCCCGGAACTAAATGTCTCTGACGATATAAATTCAACATCTCTGTACATAAACTTCCTTCAACATCAATAGATATTTTGTAAATTAAATATTTAAGCGGTACAATATTGAATTCTTAAGCAAAATCCAGTTATTTTTTCTTCTGTGTGATAAAACATAACATTTTTAATAAATTTTTTTTGTAGCCATTACTCGGTACAATAATCCAAAAACTGTTTGCTGTTATCATTGCGCTAGATTCAGTTTACCACTTAAAGCTATTTCATTGTCCTGTGATTAAAATTGAATGAACCCTTTTCTGTTCTTTTTCAGCAGAGGAATTCCAGGCTGTGTCTAGTTGCTGTGATTCTAATAATGTTATATCTGAAGATGCCTTATTTAGGGATAAATTAAAACACATGGGTAAATGTAAGTATTAATATTATAATTTTAATTATACTCTTTCTTGGGTGAATACTGATCAGCAGGTTGAGGAGGTCAGATGAATCTTTCCTCTTTCCTTTCACCAGCCACAGGTTCTACATATTTGTTGATGAAAATGTGAATGGGTGAAGATTATTAAGGGAAAATTTGAGGTAAACAAACATTAAAGTATATGGGGGTATGCAAAGACCGAAAGGAAAAGTAGTTTTGGAAAACAATTTACTCCCAATGATGTTTGTTTTTGCCTTGAAAGGCATATTTGTCACAGCAGTTCACTGCTACATACGATGTTGCTAAAGCTGGCTATAATCTAGTAGAATTTTCATTTTAAGAACGCTTGTTCAATTATCTAATTGTTAGTGGGTCAAATCGACGTTTCATTCATGAAATTGCATTTTTTCCAAAACTGAATGTTAAATGCAAACAAAATTTTGAATTACTTTTGAACAGCATCTGTCCATTCATCGAATATACAAACAAGCATTCACTCTAAAATTAATTTACTAGTGCATAGCCAGCTTTAAGCTGGCCAAACAGCAACCAATTTTCTTTCCTGCAATCACAGGTAGCAAGAAAGGAAATTGCTTGATTCCCTCATCAACACAGTTGGTGTTGTTTGAGGACTCCCCGCAGAGCTTTTGTATTCTGATTGTGGGAGGTTTCCCAGCCCTTAGAATACAAAGATCACTGCAAGCGGGTATAGATCAAATAAGAATAAAAGACCATTTTGTACCGATCAACTTCAGTACAGCCAGCCTGCCCATAGATGGATCAAAATTTCCATCAGTCTTTGGCAGGCTTTAGAGAAGAGTCACTCTGTTCTACTGCTGTACTGAATTTATATTTTTAAAACATTAAATAGCCCTGACAACTGCTGAATTCTCAGGCTGGGTTCACACTGATGCGGTGTGGAAATCGCAGCATTTTCCGTGTGAATTCCGCATCAGAATTGCACCCTGTTCATGCAAACTTATGCGGGTGTGTATATTAAGTTAACACCCCGAATTCGGTCCGCAAAACGCGGTGCGATGTGCAGAATCGGATCGTATAGGTGTGAATACCCATGCAATCCAATTCTAGTGCACACCCAAAAAAGGGTACTGCACCTTTTTTGGCACGGTGCGTTTTGACCCATACAAAATGTATGGCTCCAATTGCACCGCACACAAATCACGTGATTTGCACAGGAATGCAGTGCGGTTCTACTGCTTCAAACAGACACAGCGTGTTTAAGCATTTAGAAGGATTCTGACCGCTCTTCATTCAGTGAATAGCGGATAAAGATTTTAGGCTGACATCCCAAAAGCAAAAATAAGCTGGCAACCTGGTATGCGCTTCTGCTTACTCTTTATTGGCTACAGGACATGAATATAGTAAGAAAATTCTAACATGTTTTGGCTATACAGCCTTCCTCATAGCATGCTATGAAGAAGTCTGTATAGCTGAGTCGCATTTGCATTTTCTTACTGTATTCATGTCCTGTAGCCAATAAAGAGTAACCAAAAGAATATTCCGGGTTGCCAGTGTCTTTTTGCTTTTGGGATGTCAGCCTAAAATCTTTAACTGCTATACACTGAATGAAGAGCTGTCAGAATCCTTTTAAATGCTTAAACACGGTGTGTCTACTATTTAAAGCAGTATTTTTGGACTTGTACCTAAAAGGATTTTAATTACACTCTATAGTCTGTTTGGTTACATGATGCACATCAAACAGCATGCTTCCATGGAAAATGGCTTGTATTTGAGATATCTTCGATGCTATTGAAATTAGTTTACCACACATTTTATGTGTTTGCATTGCATTAACTCTGACCTGTATAAAGAGATTACATCATTTGACATGTAGCAGAATATTATACACTGTTTTTAAACATGTGGTTTCATTCACACGGTGCAACGTTTTCAGTGCAGGACCTTGCTGGCAGCTCCTGCATACTGTATGCTGTACACTGGTAACTTTTGAGCAGCGTTTGCATGCTTACAGCCCAACAATGGAAATGGCCTCTATTGGCCACTACCACTGCTCAGCTAGATGTGAAGACATAAACAGCTACTGCTGCCTGCGTCCTGTTAACAAAGGATGCCAATCCTGCCACCAATACCTATAAAATTACACACGCAGTCAGTATCCCATCAGGTCTGCTATGATGGACATAATGGGGACCTGCAAAACACTGAAACCGTTCTGGTTCTGCCTCCCCATTTCCCATCAGGTCCGCTCTGAAGGCTGGTGGAAAGAGCCATTTCTATTGGTGAAGAATTTGCTTGTCCAGGGCCAATCAAATACTACATAGGCAGATATGGCTCCTCCCAGCAGCAGTTAAGTAAACCTGATGGAGAACTGCAACACACAAAAAACATTCTGGCTCTACCTCCAATGTCCCGTACGTTCTGTTCTGAAGGCTGGGTGTAACGGAAGGGGAAATAAGGACATTAAGTGTAATATATACAAGGAGCACTAGCTCCTCCCACATATTACAGAATTAATAACTCATTCGGCTGACCTGTAACTATTGATGGTGTGTAATCAAAGCAGCTGACCTACACATTGTTGACATTTACAGTACTTATAGGCCTTGAGCAGAAGCAGTGGCCAGAAGGACCACTGTACACTGTGCTGATATGAATGTAAACATTGCAAAACATTTACATGCATGCAGTGTTGTCCATGTGAATGAGCCCTATATCATGCATGTTGGAAGAAACTAAACACAGCTTAAAACTGTTAAAATGCTGTAGCAACAAATATTATAGCCATACACAACATCCTTTCTCAATAAACCAGAACTGCTGCACATATAAATACACACACACCTAAAATTTGATCTTCATTCACAAATGGGTAAATTGCATAGTCACCTATTGCTAGGCCTCAGGACTGTCCATTGTAGATTTCTGGGGCCAGCACTGTCCCTGATGTTTCCTTCCTTGGCTAGCCATCACCTCTTCCCCTTCTATACATTCACAGATCTAAGGGTGCTGCTTTCTGCACAGAGAGGGTCAGTGAAGAGAGTCCCAATAGCCATGACACCATGAAAATGGGAAGAGGCAGGTTAGCAAGAGGGTTTTCAAGACACTAGGGGCATACACATCTAATGTATATACACTGCTCAAAAAAATTAAAGGAACACTTTTTAATCGGAGTATAGCATCAAGTCAATTTAAATCCTGGTATATTGATCTGGTCAGTTCAGTAGCAGAGGGGGGTTGTTAATTTCATTAACACCAAACCAGCTGAAACTGATTAACAGATGCACTAGATGGGCAACAATGAGACAACCCCCAAAACAGTGATTATACAGGTGGAGGCAACTGACAGTTTTCCCCATCTTTTCTGACTGTTTTTCGCAAGTTTTGTATTTGGCTAGGGTCAGTGTCACTACTGGTAGCAAGAGGCGATATCTGGAACCTACAGAGGTTGCACAGGCACTCCAACGCCTCCAGGATGGCACATCAATATGTGCCATTGCCAGAAGGTCTCAAGAGCATAGAGGAGATTCCAGGAGCCAGGCAGTTACTCTGAGAGCTGGACAGGGCGTAGAAGGTCCTTAACCTATCAGCAGGACCTGTATCTACTCCTTTGTGCAAGGAGGAACAGGATGAGCATTCACTGGTGTGTATGTCTCTGACCAAACAATCAGAAACAGACTTCAGGAGGGTGGCCTGAAGGCCTGACGTCCTCTAGTGGGCCCTGTGCTCACTGCCCGGCACCATAGAGCTCGATTTTCATTTGCCATTGAACACCAGAATTGGCAGGTCCGCCACTGGCGTCCTGTGCTTTTCACAGATGAGAGCAGGTTCACCCTAAGCACATGTGACCAATGTGAAATGGTCTGGAGAAGTTGAGGAGCACGTTATGCTGCCGGTAACCTCGTTCGTCATGACCGTTTTGGTGGTGTGTCAGTGATGGTCTGGGGAGGCATATCCATGGAGGGACGCACAGACCTCAACAAGACAATGGCACCCTGACTTCCATTAGGTATGGGGATGAAATCCTTGGACCCATTGTCAGACCCTACACTGGTGCAGTGGATCCTGGGTTATTCCTGGTGCACGACAATGCCTGGCCTCATGTGGCAAGAGTATGCAGGCAGTTCCTGGAGGATGAAGGCATTGATACCATTGAATGGCCTCATGCTCGCCTGACTTAAATCCAATAGAACACCTCTGGGATATCATGTTTCGGTCCATCCGACGCCACCAGGTTGCACCTCAGACTGTCCAGGAGCTCAATGATGCCCTAGTCCATATCTGGGAGGAAATACCCCAGGACACCATTCATCTTCACATTAGGAGCATGCCCCGATGTTGTCAGGCATGCATACAAGCATGTGGGGGCTATAAAAACTACGAAGTATCATTTTGAGTTGCTGCAATGAAATTTCAGCGAAATGGGTTAGCCTGCTGCATCATTTTTTCACTTTGATTTTTGGGGTGTCAGTCCTCTGTAGGTTGATCATTTTCATTTCCATCAAACTATGAGGCATCCTTGCATTCCTAACACATTACCCAGTCTATATCAGTATAGCTATCCAGCATGATATTTTTCCCTATTGAGAGCTAATGTGTTTTCAAAATGTTCCTTTAATTTTTTTGAGCAGTGTTAATAGATCTTTGTCCAACTTGGCTAGTGCAGCAAATCATATTCTTCAATGGCACTGGTAGTAGAATTCCGTGCCAACTGTTTACAGAGGAGAAAAATTTCCTCCTTGACCTTACCAGGATTCAGCCAACAAAATCCATCCATCACAAGGGTTATGTTCGAATAATAATTGGCCTGTAATAAAGAAAACATTCCATGAGGGAATTATGCAGGGTGCTATTACTTATTTTATTATTTTATTATTATTTTTTTTTTAGAAGTTTTGAGTCCCTTACCAGGGACAGGTAAAGTGGTTGTAAAGGCTCAAGGTTTTTACATTCATGTATTGTATGCATGAAGATAAAAACCCTATGTTCAGCAATCCCTCTAGCCCCCCTAATAC